AAACTGAGAGCTGCCATTATCAGTAATGGGGACAAATTGGAGACCTTTCCAGTAAGATCAAGGGTAAAGCAAGGGTGTCCATTACTGCTATTGCCATTCAATATAATATTTGAAATACTAGGTGTCGTGATAAGAAATTGAAGTACTAAGCATAAGCACAAATAGGAAGCAAATGAAACAATTAACAGTTTCAGCAAAGTTACGGAATATAAAATAAATGCACATAAATTACAAACATTTCTGTATATTACCAATAAAATCTAGTAGGAAGAGATGGGAAGATATATTCCATTTAAAATAACCATTTTTGTTTAGTCATTTCAGTCATCTCAGACTTTTTGTGATCCCATTTGGGATTTTCTTAGCAAAGATACTGGAGTGGTTTGCCATTTCCTTCTCCAGTTCATTTTACAGATGAGGACACTGAGGCCATTAGGGTTAAGTGACTTGCCTAGGCTTAGGAATGTGGGTATTCCTAATTCCAGGACCAGCACTCTATCCACTGCACTACCTAGTGGCCCTAAAAGTATAAACTACTCTGGAGTCACTTTGGCAAGATACCTTCAAGAATTATTTGAATACATCTACAAAATAATCTTTGCACAGATAAAGATGGATCTAAATAATTGAAGAAATATTGTTTATAGGTTGACCAAACCAATATAATAAAAGTTGTTATACTGCCTTAATTAGTTCACTTACTCACTGACGTTCCAGACTACCAAACAATTTATAGAACTAGAAAAAATAACAACAAAATTCATCTGGAAGAACAAAAGATGTAGCATCTCAAGGGAAATAATGTGTAAAAAATTAAAAGGAAGGGTGCCTAGGAGTACCAGATCTCAAACTCAAAGCATTAATTATCATGTTTAGTACTGTTGAATAAATAGTTTGATCAGTGAAATAGATTGGTTGCATAATATGTAGTAGCAAATGACTTTAGAACTCTAATCAATGCAGGGGTCAACCATGATTCTAGAAAACTTATGATGAAAGTTTGCTATATACCTCTTGACAAAGATGATGGACCCAGAGTACAAATTGAAATATTTTATTTTAGGAGATGGCCAGTGGCAGAATTTATTTTATTTGATTATACACGTTTGTAATGACAGTTTTGTTTATATTTCTTTCTCAGTGTGGGACAGGAAGTTGAGGGGCAAGAGAGAATGCAGATCTTTTTATTGAAAAACATTTAATGAAAAAGAAAGAAAATGCAGTCCACTATGTTCTTGTTCTATTTATTCCTGCACCCACTTCATTGTTCATATGTATGTCTTATACATAGCTATACACAGAACTCGCCTGTGTGTTTTTCCTTTGCGGCCGGTTAAGCAGAACTCTTTCCAGTGATGATGGCTCTCATTTAGGATGTTCCATAAATGAGTATTTGCAGTCAGAATAATGTCTTCCACAAACAGAATCATTTATTGGATTTGGGAAATCTCTCTCATTTAGTGTCTTCTCTTGATGTCCTTCTTGATGTTGGAAAACTCCTTTGGTGAACACATCTTCCTGTTTATACTTTATTTGATAATAATATTAGAGATATTAATTAGAGATAATATTATTATCATTAGAGATATTTCAAGAAAAGTTATCTCTTCCGTCTTTTAAAAAGTCATATAATTTTGACATTCACAAGAGACACTTTACTGTATGAGAAGAGAGTCTGTAAGGAGTAATTTTGCTTTGCCAAATCAAATGTTGTGAAGTTTTTTAATAGTTAACAAACATGATGCATAGCAGGACCTTGTATTCCCTATATCTTTCAACTAATTGTGTTATTGTAAAAATGTCGTATGCTGTGACTGATTTGTTGCTTTGCTTTGTTTTGATTTGTTGCTTTGCTTTGTTTTGATTTGTTTTTCTTTTTTCAGAAGAGGAAGAATAAGGTTTGTAGGGAGGGTTGATTAATTAAAGAGAAATTAAGTTTTTATATTGTGGTATAAAAATAAAACTGTTTTTTTGAAGATGATAGCTTATCTGTTGGTAGTTATTAATACTGCCTTTTCCTCCTCCTTGTCACGGAGATCACATTTCTTGGTTGAGGTGGTTCTAGGCTCTTCTGGTCTCCTTGGTGTAGCAGTTGATTAATGTCAATTAAACTTTCTTAGGAAATTATGATGTTCTGTATTGATACCTCTTCTGTTGTCCTATTTACATCCCAACAGTTTTTTCAAGTAGATTATAGTTGCCTTGCTTCTGGGTCACATCGCATTTTTATGCTTTTTTCTGATTTGGTATTGATTTTTTATCTTTGTGCTGATGGTATAATGATACAAAAAAAAAACAACTGATTTTAAAAAGATGGCCAAAGGAGTAGCTTGGGGGGGGGGGGCTGCCTGTCAAAATATTATCGATTTTCTCTTTAAAGTTTTACTTGCCTCTGAACTCTCAAAGAAAGTATTCCTGATTTGTAGGCCCAAGTCTTTCTATACAGTTTATAAAGAAAATATTGATCTTTCTTATTTCTTACTCCTTTCTCTTTTCTCATTTCTTACTCTTTTATTTCTTACACTTACAAAAGTGGGCTGGTAAACGTTTAACAACCAGACTCTTGGGGGGGGAGGGGGTAATGTGTGCATATACTCTTTCAAGTTAAATCTGTATTAACAGATTAAGTCTAGAGAGTCAACAAAACAATAAATCAAGCCCTGATTTGAGGCTGTTGCCAAAGATCTTATCAAGTTCTTTGTTCAATTTTTCTACCTAATCCTCCCTGGAACAGATGTGGCATAAACACTACTATTATTTTCATGTTTATAATTGTAACAAGTACAAATGACTAATTAGGACTCTAGTGTATCTTCTCTGACTTTCATCTTTACCAATATTTTACCACAATAGATAATACTTAGTAAACTTTCTTGGTTTGTTAAACTTATTTCCCTCCATTCTCTGGCTCAAACTCTAATAATATATGTCTATAATAAGAAGAGGATATAATGTCTTTAATGTAATATATATTATAATATATAAGATGATAATATAATGTCTGTAATAAGAGGAGAAAAATTAAAGCCAAGAAATAATATCAGTTCATCATGTATTTAAATATTAGATCCTTTGTTCTCGTCCAGGCACTGTAGGTACAAGGTGCAAAGGGGGTGGGGGGAAAGGGGAACAATCCTTGGTGTTTAAATGTTACATTTTCCTGTCAATTGCAACTTGTAAACAAATAAAACAGAAAATAATTTGAAGAGGGAAAGTATATTAATGATGAGAGGAATCAGCAAAGGTTTTAGTCATATGATATTTCGCTAATATATGATAGTCATATATTAACTAAATCTTGAATTCTGAGAGTCAGGGGTTTGGTAGAAGATGGAATAGCAAGTGGGCCCTCTTGGTTGGAGCATTTAGTGTATGAAGGGGAGTAATATGAAATACATTGAAATAGATAATTTCATAGATTGTATAGCTAAGAGGGAACTCAGATCATCCTATCATTTTACAGATGAGGAAACTGAAGTTAGAGGGTTTAAGTGATTTCTTAAGTTTACACAAGTAATCAATGATATAGCAACGACTTGGTGCATTAGCTCTGTGTAAAACCCACTATTTATTTCCTTTGTACCACACTGCTAGTCAGAACCAAATTAAGAACTTTAAATCCCAGGGTGAGTTCACATTTTCCCCTTAAAGGATAAGTGAGATTTTTGTCTGAAGATTTTTGAGCAAAAGAGTGATATAGTTAGACTTGTACTTTAGGAAGATTATTTTGGCAGTTGCTGGAAGAGTGAATTGAACTGAAAGGAGAGAAATATTAGGAAGCTGTTGTAGTAGTCTAAACAAGATACCATATTGTGGTTACATATGAGTACAAAGAAGGGATTGCATAAGGGAGATGTTTTAGAGGTAGAATTCATAAAATTTCATTAATTGTTTTCATGTAGGAGCAGAGGAAAAAGGGAGAAGTGTAGGGTGATTTTGAGGTTTTGAACCTTGATGACTGGAAGATCGCTGATGATTTTAATAGAAATGAGGATGTTTTTAGCATGGAGTAGGTTTAGAGATTAAATGGTGAGTTGTGTAATATGAACCATATCTTAAAATGTAGGAGAGGCTGCATGACATAGTGATTAGAGAGCTGGCTTCACAGTTTGGTAGACCTGGTGCAAATCTTTCCTTTGACTTATTGGCTATTTGACCTTGGGCAAGTCTTATGATTTCTCAATGCTTTTGACATCTGTAAGACATTGTTGCAGAAAAAGTGCCAGTCTGCATCAGTATAGAGAGTTTCTTCATTTGAAAGTTTCCTTTATCAGTGAAATCACAGGTCCAATCCCGATTTCTATCCATATTTTAGCCTTTCAAAAAACTCACGTACCTGGTTTGAATATTTATTTCTTGAAATGAGCATTATTGGATTTAGAATTGGGAAGAACACAAATGATCATAGTGTCCAACCTCCTTATTTTCTAGGCTAGTAAATACGCCCACAGAGCTGAAATGATTTAACCAAGGGTTACATACATAATAAATAGTGAGTCAGATTTGGTCCTAGAAACCATTATCTAGCACTCATTAACTAATTCTATGTCTTTTTTTGGACAGTATGTGATTTTAGTGCATAAGAGGTAAGGAAGTCATTACTCTAGGAATTAATAGTCTGCCTGTAAAAAGGGCCCAAATATCAAGAGGATTGGAGAGTCTTAGCTAGAATGGTTTTTTTCCCAGTGAGATCTAGTAGAAAGAGAGCTGGATTTAGAGTCAAAAGACCTAGGTTTGAATCCTGAGTCTCCTTACTATTTCTATAAATTTAAGCAAATTACTTTTCCTCTCTGAGCCTGACTGTAAAATTAGGTGATTGAACTGATGTCCAAGATCTCATCTAGATTTAAACCCTCTTTTCCTCTGAACTCTGTGTATGACAACATCTTGTTTTAAACCTGAACACCTATTCTTCACTCACCCAAAACCAACAAAAGTTGTGACAACTTAATTATTGTAATTACAGCATCCAAAAAAAGGTTATTTGTTTCCCTGTATAGGTATCAGTCAGAGCCGGATTTCCCATTGGCTGTTGCAGCAGGGGTCAGACTTGAGTGAACAGAAGAAAAGGGCATTTTATCGATGGTACCAGCTTGAGAAGACAAACCCTGGTAAATAATTATTCTTTCAGTATGTTTTTTTTTAAACTAATTTGTGTGATTATTTCATGGAGTAACTTGTACTGATTTGCTTTCTAAAAGGTAGTTGCATATGGGAGTTAGAGACAGTGAGAGACACTAAGAAGAGAGAGAATGGAACTGAAATGTTTGATAAGAATAGCATCGAAGTTCTTTTTTTTTTTCCCTAATGTCTGTGTTTCTTCTTCCCCTTCCTCTGCTTCTGTGGTTTTTCAGTATTGTCTGCCCACAGTTTTGAGAGAGGATGGATGATTTGCATTTTGTTTGGCATTAGAAAAAAAGAGATTATTTCTTACTTTCTGCATTGATTTGGGAAGGGGGAGAGGTCCTAACTTGTACTTGCTTTGGTGTAGAGAGGTTCTAGTGAGGGGACTCTCTCAGCAGCAACCATTTTTATAACTTTTCATCTTAGATTGTTGCACAGGGCATGAGTTAAGTGTCAAGTGACCCAGATCTTTCTGACTATAAAGCCCTGCTTTCTACCCGGTGCCCTAGAGGTGTCAGGCTTGCTGCCTGCACTCCTGAGTGATTAAATTAAAACATAATTGGAAAATGTTTTTTTTAAATGAAAATACAATACAACATAGATAATGTTATTTTTTTCTGTGTGATTTGCAGGGATTGTTTCTATTTCAGTTTGACACTACTACACTGTTAGCTTTCTTTTCCACATCCAGAGGTACACAAATCACAAGATTCTATGAGTAGTTCTTTTTAAAAAATATGTTTTGAATAAGAAATTAATTTTGAAGTATTTTGTAATTGTTTTTAATGTGAGTGTGTGTGTGTGTATTCTCTGCTGATGAATTTCTACTTTTAATATAATTTCTGTTTGGGTATACAAACATTTCTCGCTTTATGCAAGTTCACATTATGCAAATTTGATTTCACATAAAGAATTCTGAAAGAAATACACATCCCAAAAAAAACCTGTGTTAACTTTACTGTATAGTACTGTGCACACACACACACACACACACACACTCTCTGCTTCTGCCCCTCAGCTTGTTACTCTCTAGTCTCTCCCAGTTATCTCTCAAAAAAAAAAAAAAGAAAACTTAACTTAAAAAAAAAACCCTCCAAATGAAAACAGAAGAACAATTGTGCAGAGAGAAAATGCCTCCTACCACTGATGCCTCCAGTGTGAGAGAGGAGACCTTTGCCCCACTCCACCCACCCACCTGTGTGTCCCATGTTTGTCTTCAGTGTAATCTAGGCTCGGGCGTGTCCATCCCCAACCCCCATGTATTGCTTGTCCTCTCCTGTCTGTGTCTGGCCCCATATGTTTGCCCCTGTGTGTTCTTCCTCTTGATTCTGGCCAGGCCACCATGTGACCGGCCCCAACCTCCACATGTTCCTTCTGTTCTTACTTTTCTGTCCCTGGCCCCCCCCCACAAATCCTTGAACTGTATGAGAACCACTCCCTCTATAATCCAGCAGCCTTTTCCTCCCTCCTTCCCCATGTCCATGGGCAAATTCACAGTAGGTAAAAATGACTTTATGTAGCAGTCTGCAGAAGATACCACTGATGTAAAGTGAGAACTGTCTGTACAGGGTATTTTCTAACATCCAAGGCAAATGTCACAATGACTCTAGTGAAGAAACAGTAGGTTGAGTCTTTAATAAAAAGTATAAAAAGTGTTTTCTGTGACTAGAGGTGGCCACAAAATAATTTTCTCCTGAATTAATCTTCTTATTTTTCTCCCAGCATAAGTATAAGGCACACCGACAGTGCATGAATGAAATCAAGAAGCATCACTCCCAACCACTCAGTTTTAGTGATGCCTTTTGATTTTATGTCACATTAATTTCTAAATATCACTATCTATTCCTCTACTCAAGGAATCTTCCTGTTGTATCAAATATTTTATTTTTTTTAAAGCCAACCAACACATTGCTGCATTTGTCAATATATGCAGCATTCTTTTTCTTATTTTAATTTTAATTTCTTTTTTTATTTTTAGGCAATTGGGATTAAGTGACTTGCCCAGGGTCACATAGCTAGTAAAGTGTTAAGTGTTTGGTCTGAGGTCATATTTGAACTCAGGTTCTCCTGACTTCACGGCCAGTACTGTATCCACTACGCCACCTAGCTGCCCCCTGCAGCATTCTACAGCTGTGATCTTCCACATTTCCAGTAAAAGGAAGACAATTTTCTTATCTTCTCTCTGCCATCAAGCTTGATCATAATGATTCTTTACATTAGTCATTGTTTGTTGTTTATTGTTATATAAACAATATAACATTGTTTATGTTGTTTTCCCAGTTATGCTTACTTCTCTTCCCTCCTTCTTCCTCATTCTCTTGAAAAAAAACAACACAGTTTTTCTGACTAAGAAACTTTTCTGCTAGGGGAAGATTCAAAGATAAGTGTCAGACAAAGTCAGTCAGTCAAAAAAGCATTATTAAGTGTTTACTATATTCCAAGTGCTATGGTAAGCTTTGGTGCAACTATATTAATAGAAAGTTTTTCTCTGAAAACTACCTTACTATAAATATAATATAAATCATTACAACACTTTTGTTACGTGCACAATAATCTCCCAGTTCTTCTCACTTCACTTTGCATCAGTTCATACAGGTCTTGCCATACTTTTTCTGAAACCACCCCCCTCATTATTTCTTATAGCACAATAGTATTCCACAGTGATGTGCCACAACTTGTTCAGCTATTCCTCAATTGATGAGCATCCCCTCAATTTCCAATTCTTTGCCACAAAAAATATTGTATATGTAAATCCTTTTCCTTTTTCCTTGATCTCTTTGGGGTACAGACCTTGTAGTGGTATTGCTAGATTGGCCATAATGTATGTACAATTTTATAGCCCGTTGGGCATAGTTCCAGTTTGTTTTCCAAAATGGTTGGTTCAGTTCACTACTCCACCAACAATTCATTAATGTACCTATTTTCTCTCATCTCCTCCAGCATTAGTCGTTTCTTATATGTATGAGGTGGTACCTCATAATTATTTGCTTTTCTCCAATCATTAGTGAGTTAGAGCACTTTTTCTTATCACTATAGATAGCTTTGACTTCTTCTTCTTTAGGAAACTACCTGTATATGTCCTTTGATCATCTATCAATTGGGGAATGGTTCTTATTTTAATAAATTTGACTCAATTATTTTGACTCAATGTATTTGAAAAATGAGGACTTTATCAGAGAAACTTGCTCTAAAATTTTTTGATATTACTTTATTGTCTGTGGTACCTTTTAGCAAACTTCAGAATGACTTTGCTTGGCTATATCTCTTGGCAAGTTTCTTTTAAACTGCTTTTACCCTCCACTTCTTCTCTCTTGTTTATGAAGTGACATTGCTCATAATTCTTCTTTGTGTGATTTTGTTAAATGTATTTATGTTCTGAACTGGTGGTGCCTTTTGCCAGCAACTCTCTCAGCATTAGCAAGTGAGTAAATTATTTGTTAATTATTTAGATACAGGAAAAGCTTTTGACAAAATGTAGCATTAGTTCATAAATACCGAATCATTTAGGCATGCAAGGGATATTTAATATGATCGAAAATATATATTTAAAACCAAGCACTAGCATTGTGTGCAATAGAGAAACACGTGAAGCTTTCTAAGTACAAACAGAGATAAAAACAAGAATGCCCTCTCTCCCCAGTCTTAGTATCATAAATTTAGAGCTGGAAAGGACTTTGCAGTGTATCTAGATTAGCTCTTAATTTAACAAATGGTGAACTGAGGCCAAGGAGTCTAAGAGACTTACTCAGTGTCACATCAATAATATGGAGAAAAGGTAGAATTTGTAACCAAGTCCTTTTTTCTGAATCCAAGACTTTCCAACGTACCACTATGCTGCTAGTTTAAACAATAAAACAAGAGAACAACATTAAATGTATAACCATCATCAAAGAGAAAAATTATGCCTATTTGCAGGTGATTTGATGTTATATTTAGAAAACCCCACAGAATCAACAGAAAAACAAATTGAGACTAATGATGGCTATAGCAGTATCACAAGATACGAAATAAATCCATAAAAATTAGCATTTCTGTAATACCAATAAAAAGTGGTAATAATAAGAGAAAGTTAATTAAAAACAGCAAATTGTATAACATATATGGAGGTTAACCTACCAAGAGACTTGCAAGATTTTATGTATATATGTGTATATATACATAATGTATACATTATGTATATATGTGTATATATACATAATGTATACATTATGTATACATATGATTTTATGTATATATCTGAGTGTGTGTGTGTGTGTGTGTGTATATATATATACATACATACATACATATGCATACTACTAAATACTCTTTATAGAATAAAGAGAGACTTAAATAATTGGGAAGATATTCAGTGTTTGTCACAGACCTTGCCAGTGAAAAGGTGGTTTGTAGGACCAAGTCAGAATGGCAAAGTGAAGCCAGCATTTTTGCCAAAGTCTACTAAGATATCCCCTGTACAGCAACTTAAAAAATGTACCAGTCTCAGTGCTGAGTGAGATAGCCAAGAAAAAGTCATAGTGGGTCTTTTTTTTTTTTAGTTCAGGGCAGCTAAGGAAGACTGAAAGAGAGATCTCTGGACATTGGAGTGGGGGCTGGCTGGGAGTACATTGTAAAAGAAGCAGCACTAGTTATGGTCCATGGTGGTGGCACCAGGAGCAGACCATGGTAAAAGGGGTAAGAGGACTGAACAGCTAGTCCAAAAGAGTTCCCTATAGTAACACTTGGAGTAGAAATGGATGCTTTTTGGAAGTTTTGTCATTCATTACCTGGTTCTGAATCACAGTTCCAATTTGAAGAGTTCAAAGAGCAGTCACAAGAGAGCAGGGGGCCTCCCTAGGTACCGACCAGGGAAAAGACCAAGAGGATAGTGACCAGACCTCTCCTCAAATCACACCATTTTGGAAACATTGAAAACTTACAGACCCTCAGAGAGCTATGAGCGCAGCAAAGGGATACAAAAGACAGACGTCTCTCAGACCAGACATCA